GACTTCTGAACTACAGAATATTTCTAAACTCTGTAATTAAAAGTTTAGTTTTAGCTGACCCTTACTGAATTGTCACAAAACCCTAACTGGGAGACCTAAAACTACTTGTAATTAAAGGGGCTTAAAATAAAAATATTTAATACCTCTAATATCAAAATGCTCTACTACTTGACTCTGGCTAGAATCATACAAACGTCACAACATTTGATACAGTAAATCATCTTCAGTGCAATGTAACATAAGACTGTAATATCACACCGGCATCACTTTCAGAGAACGAAAACAAACATCACAAAACAGAAGCAAACAAATGAAAATTAATATTCTTGTCTAGATAATCAATTTCTTTAGATTCAGGCTTTTTTTTTTCAAATCCTGTCCAGGGTACCAAACAACAGACAGGAGTTTTGAGTGAGAAAAACATACATAAAAGCTGAGGAGGCAAAGAATTTTAAGGCCCTGCTAACACCTTCATCTTTAGTGACAGAAAGCAGTGTGAAGCAAATGGCTAAAGCACTAGAAGCTTTAGATACAATCCCATGCATTTCTTGATGAAAAAAACAGTGTCAAAATATGAAGATGTTTGGTGGACTAATGAGATTGTGTCAGTGTGCAGTCAATAACCAACAATAAAAAGTAATACCTGACCCAACTATAATGATTCCTTAGCCAATTTATTATACATATTCTGAGGACTATATAAGCCCTGGAAGTATACACATGATTTTATAGAAAATAAGAGTCATTCTGAAGAAAAACAATCATGTGGGTAATATATGGGACAATATGATATGCAGGATGCATCACTATTGTGTATTTCTTTGCTTCTTCAATTGAGCTATCAATCTAAAACGACTTTTGTATGCCCAAACTCAAATGCCAAATGTACCACAGGTGCATCAGAAATTCAATTTGGCAAACTAAAAAGTAATTGCATTGTTCTTCATTTTATAATCCATGACAGAATCAGCCTACAAAATTTAAGACAAATAAGCCTCTTCCTCAGCATCATTTCTTAGGAAAATGCTAATAAAAAGATAGTGTTTTACTTCGCAGTATTTTTGGAAGTATTATCTTTTATAAAGCATAAAATTGCTTCAAAACACCCCTATAACATTGTCTCACACGTTCATGATTGTTTTAATATTGGGCATTTCATGCCTGGCCCATAGTAGCCAAAAAACTCAATGTTTGAATGAGATAAATCTGTACCGGTACATAACTTAGAACAACGCCTCGAACAGAGTAATTATATAGTAAGCGTTAACTCTCATAATATCGAGGATAAAAATTATGTGGTGATGACAGTGATTGTGACAATAAACTGAATAAAGACTAAAATCTTAACTAGCATTTTTAGAAAAGGCAAGAACTGTAATTGTGTCAATGTTTATTTAATTGTAAAAATAAACACTCTTACCTGATTGCTATGAAATTAAATTTAAGAGTTTATAAGCAGTATTGACATTATACCTAAGAGGTGACTTTAGTTTTGCACCAAGGCAAGTTCGAAACTAAATTTAATAGATGCAGAGTATATAATAGCTGTGGGGTTCAAGCCACAAAGATCTGGGTGAATGTAAACTCTAACATTTACTACTTGTGTTATTTGGGGAGGTTATTCTATAAGGCCTAAGTTTTCTGAGGGAAAAGAAGAGTGTGTACACACAAATTTTTGTGAGGATTAAACAATATTTGTTTTTCTTGGCACAGTGCTTAGCAAATAGGAAAGATTTGTCCCAGGTTAGTTTTCTTTATTGTTTTTATTGTTATAAATTATTTGCTTGAGAGTTATCTTCATTTGGCTTAGTCAAAATTAATTCACTTTTTTTTCCCTATCAGCATTTTTTGTGCCTCTATCATGTACTAATCACTATACTAAGCAATGGAAGAAACTTCAGAATAAGAAAAATTATTATTGGTGAATTTGTATATTTAGAGTGGTCCTATTATAATGACTGTTTTGAATATTTGATCATTTATAATATATCACAGGCAGTCAATTCTACAATTTAATAAAATTTCAGGTTAAATAAGTCAATTTGGCCAGCATATATAGACAGATATAAAGCAAATATCCTACAGCTATTATGATTTTGTACTATGTATAAAGCTTAAGTAACAATTACATTAGGACATGTCATTTTGTGAAACACCAACATTTTTACTATTAATTTTCCTCTGTTTCTGAGAATAAAAAAATTTAGCTGAGTCCATTTTCAATAAATTAATGAATCTGGTTATGTGTTGCATATTTTAAAAGGTCAAATACCTGAATGCATATCTTTGTCAGGATGATCACAAAGGCGACTTTTAGTGTATAGCATTTGAACTAAAGCCTTTGTATTGAGACATATGTACTCCTTATTTTAAAAACATTTACTGATTCCTCTTTTCAAAAATATAAAGAAAATTTACTTTTACTGAAGTTTACAATAGGAAACATTTTTTTTAATTTATTAATGTAACATTAATATTGTCTTTTGTTTTGAGTTAGGGGTAAAAGAGGGGATCACTACTGATTTCTTTCCTCTGAACAAATTCTCTATAAAAACAAATAAAGAGCTCTGTAGTCAATGGTCATTATTTTGCAAAAGGTTTTATCGTTGGAGGTTTCCTTTTAAATAATCAAAACCATTTCAAAGAAAAGTATAATGCAGAACACCTTTGGGAAAAGTAACAGAGATACCCTATTCAAAAATATGTGGCAAGAGTCTCAATCTTATAACCTAGATTCTATAAAAATCTCATGGGCATCAAATGTCAAATAGAATGCTGCTAGCTCCAGGAATAGAAAATGAGGCCTTCCACTAAAGCAAGGGGTAGCATTTCAATGTCACAGGCTCTGCCAGGATAAAATGCATCAGACCATGAACGTATAGTTTAGTGAAATATATTACATTTTCACAGATGAGCAAAGAAATGAAAGCATGAAAAATTGTCTTGTCCATTTAGTTTCTATACATTTTGAAGGAAGCTGGTTTCTAGATTTATATTTAGGAAGAAAACATGAAAAAATATATTTTTGGCTGAACATTTTGTTTACTTGTGACAATTTCATAAATGAATAGCTGCTCACCTTCCCAGAGTAGAGAGCAGGTTCTAATCCTCAGGAAGAATGGTATCGGAGAAGGGAACAGTAAACTAGAAGTCAGAAGGATTGGTTCAGGCTGCCTAGTTTTCTCATCGCTCAAACAGGTGTCTTGCCTTCGACTTGCTCTGCCTTATGAGGTAATCTTATGGTTAAGAGCACTTGGTGTATGGTAAACACTCAATAAATGTTACTCTCTTGTTACTTACATGTGCTCCACAGATCAGCAGCCTTGGCATCAGCTGGGAGCTTGACGGAAACGCAAATTGTTGGGTCCCACCCTAGACTTACTGATTAGATTCTACTTTTAAACAAGCTCTCCAGTGATGAGTATGCACATTAAAGTTGAACAAGCCCTGCATTAATCGATGCTAGGCACGTTACAGTCATCATCAGTTATAATTCCTACATCTATGCTGTTGAAATTCTTCAAATGTGCTTTGATATATGAAATATGTTCTATCAATGCTTAGGATGGCAGTGGTGATGATGATGGTGAGGGGGACAAATGAAGGGAAAAAATTCATGCATTGAATGAGCCTTTAATGGGTATTACGGGCTTTTCTCTCCTGCCAGGATCTATTAAGATACAAAAGATGCCTGCCTAAAAAGTGAAGCGATAGTCACAAACTGCTCTCTCCATCACGTGACTCCAAGTAAGATAATGCAGGCATCTTTGAGTTTAAAGGTAGGAGGTAATTACTAGGCATAGCACAGCAACTGAGGTGCATGGTCTTTGGAGGCAAATGGCACTGAATTAAAATCTTAGCTGGGCCATTAAGAAGCTATGTGACACTGGTAAATTATTTAATTTGCTAGGTTCCAGCATTCTCATTTATAAAATGATAGTTTTGGAGACAGCAGAAATGGTAGCACATGTACACTGTTTAGCTATCAGTATTGAGCATATAGCTATTGTTATTGAATATTATACAGAGAATATTTTATCCTGGAAAAGTTATAAGCTCTCCACTTTCCTGATTGGACCCTGACTCCATGAAGTCCCAATATACCTACCATTTCAAGGAGACATTTAGTTCCCTCAATCAGATTCCATACTGTTCTCTCTTATGTTTTTTTCAAGCATAGGGCAAATGGTTAAGTTTAGAAAGAGTTTCTCAGCTCAAAAGTAAAAAGTAACTTGAGATGCTAGTAAATCAAGTACTTTATAAAAACAGGTATAAAAAACCAAAAGGCTAAAATAAAGTGTTCCTAGGAAAGAAACAAAGTGAATATAAATAACCCAGAGCTGAATGGGTGTCCTGAAATTGTTATATTACATTAAT